AAAATAGAAAGAGACTCAATTTCAGCATCCCTAAGTCCTCTACGAAACCCAAAATCCCAAGTAGGATCTAAGGGTGTTCCCAAAGGTGAAACAAATTTTGAGACCACATCTTTTTTGTACAAAGAAATAGAAAAAAGCGAAGGGAACAAGTCCTTTAACGGTGAGTCTCCTACCCAAATATCCTTTAATAAGACCTTTTATTGACCTATTCTTTCTTCCCATGTTCTATGTTTTCTTTCTTTCTCTCTTTTTTTCTTTCTTAAGGATGGTTCTAAGTTTTTGTTCTTTTTTGTTTTGTATTTTCTTTTGTGGTACTGACGACTAATGACTGCATTTCATAAATTGCTCCAAGGTTTTCTTAATTGTTTATTTCTTTGTTCACCTATTACTCTTTTTTTGCACCACTGGGGTATATTCGTTATTACTAGTGGATTTATTTTGTTGTGCTACATAGTGGTACCATTTTTGCTCATTTTTTTGTTGGTAATATTTTGCAGGTTGGAGATAGGGAATAACTGGAGATATATGAAGCATTTTCAGTTTGTGCAGTGCATTGCTTTGTATTCTTCAAGGTTAGCCTAAATTGGGAGAACCCATTACTTATTTATTTATTTTTTCCTTTTTGATTGATAAGAGTAAGAATTTTATTGATTATGATAGAAAAATTAGTGTTTATATATGGTGCTTCAAAACCTATTATAGACTAGGTTTGCTACCTATCGCAAATTTCAGTATGTTGCTTACAAATGTCCCCAAAATACATGCTTTCTTGTCTCATTACTTTTTTCTTTTCTCTTGTTAAATTTTATCTATGGTCTTCTTGAAAGTTGACATGAAAATGTCATGATCATTTGAACTAATCACTCAACATGTTAGGCTACCATGGTATTTCTAAATTGTCATAATAAGGTATTGGATCCTAGAGGCAATCTCTATTTTTTTATATATTAGCAGGTTTTTAGTGCGCCATTAGGGGTAGCAACAATGGGATGTACTCACTGGATTATTTGGTTTTTCATTTGACTAATAGCATGTTTGTGTTTTATCAGAGGATTGCAAGTAATTGTTGTGGCCATGTGAACACATTGAAACTAAATCTCCCAGGCAAGCACTGATGGGGTAATTTGGTTGATAGTATGTCATAGTTTATTAGAATTGATAAAAAAATGTCATATTTTATTATAGGTTCAAAGGAAAGTGTTGTGACCATGTGAAGTCATTTCTCCACATGTTATCTTTGTATTTATTGATTGTCAAAGTAAAGCAATGGCCCTAATCAGGGAGTCAAGGTGAAGATAGGTGATTTTTTTCTTTGAATAAAACCTATCTTTCACTATTAATTGTCACCTAGTCGCCCACGTGATGGGTTTTTTTTTTGAATAAAAACCTTAAATCCTAGGGTAATTCCTTAGGTTTCATAGCAAGCAACAACCATTTTTCACTATTAATTGTTTATAATCTTCATAGAAATGCATAAATTTCATTTAAACATAGAAAATCATCGTTTGCATGAATAAATATGGAAGAAAGAAAAGAAATTTTAGAAAATAGAGGGGCTAAGCCTCTATTTCTTTCCTAGAAAAGGAAGAAAATAAAAGAAAGGATGAAAGGGAAAGAAGACGAAATTAACCAATATGTTTTGATTGGGCAAAATATTGAGTTCTTTCGTGCTTATCAGTTCATGTTTTGAAGTCTTTGAAGGTTCAAGATACTACACATGTTGATTGAACCCTAACAAATAAGAAAAATAATAAAAAGAAACTAGTATTTTCACTAAAATTGAATAATTTTATACAAAAGCTTTAGAAAGGTTGTATCTTAAAATATCTTAAAAGAAGGATGTATAAAAAGCTTTAGAAAGGTTGTCTGCACACTATTAAGCTCTCAGAAAGGTCTTTGGAAATTTAACGTTTTATTAAATGAAATCAAAGAAACCTCAACAAGAGTTATTTGTAGTATTAGCATGAGTCAAACCAAATAATAGTTCAATAATGTTTGTTTTAAAACATTATAAAAAATATCTTAGTGATTAACCGAGGTAATCCTCCATGAATGCCATATTGCCTAGGCGTTTTCTTGACAACTATGACAGGTAGTCTCTTCTTTCATATGATAGCAAGTTTTTCTTGTATCATTTGGGGTAGCAGCAGCTGACATGTGTTTAATGGGTGGTTTGGTTTTTCATTTGATTGATAGCATGCTTGTGTTTGATTAGCGAGTCACAAGGAAGTGTTGTGATGATGTGAAATCATAACTCTACATATTAACCTACCTTGGTATTATCTGAATGCCATAGGTAGTATTATCCTTGAGCTAGTCTCTATTTTTTCATATGACAATGGGTTGTTTTTGTATCATTTGGTTTGACAATAGTAAACATGCTTTTACTGGGTTATTTAGCTTTTCATTTGATTGATAGCAACATGTCTGTGTTTTATTGGATGGCTGTAAGAAATCGTTGCGACTATGTGAACTCATCAAAACAAACAAACTCACTCAGACATGCATTTACTGGGTGATTTGGTTTATCCTTTGATTAAGTATGTCCATATTTTTTCGGAGGGCATAAGATTGTGTTATATGTGTGAACCTTGGAGATTGAGCCACTACTTGGCAGAGGCTAGGCCGCTAGGGACACTTTGGACTGTTTAAATGTAAAATTAGTTTGGATTCCTAGGGAACACAATCATACAGCAGATGGCTTAGCCAAATGTGGCGTGTATTTGGATCATTTGTATAGCGACAAGCTTCCTCCTTTGTAATCTGTTGGGGTTCTTCCCCTGCTTTGTACATCTTCTCATGTACCTGTTCTTCCTTTAATGAATACTGGTTAAAAGCGATAAGCTTCCTCCTTTGTAATCTGTTGAGGTTCTTCCCCTGCTTTGTACATCTTCTCATGTACCTGTTCTTCCTTTAATGAATACTGGTTAAATTTTTCTTGAAAAATATGTGAACTTATCTCTCCACATGTAAATTATGTGAACTTATCACTCCACATGTTAGCCTACCTCCATATTTCTTGATATTCCTAGTAATGTAATGGACCCTAGACTGATAAAAAAATGTAGTGGACCCTAGAAATAATCTCTATTTTTTCATATGATAACTGTTAGTTCATGTTGGGGTAGATCTTAAAGGTAGTCTCTATTTTTTTCATATGTAAGCAGGCTGTTTTTGATTCATTTGGGGTAGGAAAAAGGCATTCGCTCATTGGATGATTTGATATTAGCATTTCTGTGTTCTATTGTAAGGTTGCAAGAAAGTGTTGTGATCATGTGAACTCATCGAAACCAAATCACCCAAGCATGCACTCACTGGGTGATTTGGTTTTCTTTTCATTTGATTGATAGCATGTTTGTGTTTTATTGGAGGGTTGGATGAAAGTGTGATCATCATTTGAACTAATCATGAACATGTTAGGCTACATTGATATTTCCAAATTGTCATAATAAGGCATTATACCCTAGAGGCAATTTCTATTTTTTCATATGTTAGCAGGTCGTTAGTGTGTCATTTGGGGTAGCAACAGCAGGATGCACTCACTGGATAATTTGGTTTTTGTTTGATTAATAGCTTGTCTGTGTTTTATTAGTGGATTGCAATTAAGTGTTGTGACCATGTGAACACATCATCAATTTCAAAAAAAAAAAGTAATTCAATAGTGTTTTTATTTTTCTTCGACCTCATTATATTATTTTACAGATAGCAATTAAATTTATGTGCATTGTTCATGTAGGCAATATTTGAATGCTTTAAAGCACTACACTTCGACACTCTACAAACACATAAAATGAAACCGAGAGCAGATGGGATTTCTAGAGCTCAAAAGTCAAAATTTTGTCATGAAGGGCCAAATTGGGTCCTTATTGCAGGAGGCGCATTATTGAGCACATTATCATTTCAGTTTGGGTACAAGCTCAAGCAAGTTCTTGATACAAGGCAGCTGGACAATGCTAGCAATGGGCTGAAAGGTCTTGTGATATACAACTTGGTGATATTTTATATTATAAAGCTTGTACCCTATACTGATTGAAAATAAATAAATAAAGCTTGTATCATAGTTTTTAAAGTGTTTCTCCTATTCAGGAACTGCGAAGTCTGCCAACAAGAGGAAGTCAGGGACTTGCACATCGCACTCAAATTTATATTCCTTTGCACAAGATGAAGGTGGTGGTTGCAATTTCCATTCAGGTGTGACATTTCTTTGATTCTCATAAACCTACCAAAGAATTTATATGTTTTTCCTCAGCAAAACTTTTGGCCAACAATAATAAAATATTTAATGCAATTTTATCTGTCAAAAGAAATATTAAATATGATTCCTAACAATTTCTTTTCTACTTGTAAGAAAATCTAGATCCTATCTACTTGTTAAATGCTATTTGTGGCCGGATTGTGGAAGTTTTATTAAGGTGGTCATCAAGCATTTCACTGCACTAATATTTGATGGGCAGATGTTGGAGTTCAATTTATGAAGAAATAAAGCACCAGCAACTCCTCGGCTTCCTGGATTTCCCAAGGAACAACCATCAAAGTTTAATTTTATTACTCCTTATGTAGGGGATTGACTCTGTGTATGGTTATATATTCTAGTAGAGGTTATCAAAATCTCAGGCCATGCTCTTATAACATCACCTATTGAAAGATTGTTTTTTTTGGCAATTTGTATTAATTAGAACTTTAAGATATTAAATAGCAGTAGGTAGCTCCCATCCAGAGCCACCCCTTTTTCTTATGACTGCAAACTAGCCCAAAATAAATGTTCCCTTGACACCCCTTGCTTTGCTAAGGTATCTGGTGCTTGAGTTTGCTGATCTTTTAACCCACTTGAAAGTTGCCCACCTATTGAAAGATCATCCAAGTCTTCTACAGTGAGAATACAAGATGCCGCTCTTGCTTGTATAATGTTGATCAAAGTTTCGTGATGGTTTTTCTTCCGTTAGAATAGTCCAAGGTTGCATTTGGCATTCGGATTCAATAGCTTATGCTTATTGGACTTTTTAGAAAGATCACAATTGAAAAAGCCCAACTGAAAAAGTTGGAAAAGGCATTTGGTAATATCCATTTATCAATGCTCCTTATTGTATATAAAAAGCATTAAGCATTTGTTTAAGTCTGCAATAAAAAGAAAGTTCTTTTTTAGTCAATAGTGCCCTCCACCAACACAAAGCCCTACATACATATTCAGTTCTTCTTGAATACCACTTGAGTTAATTTGAATAGACCAATCTGAACTGTCGTCTTCATCAATTGTTTTTTCTCAACAGTCATCCCTTCTTGGTATGACAACACAAATGAGAACTTGAGCATTACAAGGAATCAGATATTTCTATTTTAAAAAAAAGAATCAGATATTTCTGATTTCTCAGAGAAATTGAATAGTAATGACTGAGTGATGGAAGTCTTTTGAGATTCAACAAATCTCTTGTTCCGTTTCATCCATGTCCATCATAGGGAATGTTACATTATAATGAGAATTGTCAATAAGACAGAAAACCCTAATTAAAATGATGTAATTGAAATTTGCAGTGCAGCAAAGTTGTAAAAAACCTTACTTAAAACATTGATCCAGATAAGTTGGAAGAATAAGGAGCTGAGAATGGCCAATATATCAGCCCTCACCAAATGGTTACTAGTGAACTTCTCTGCTTTTTTAATGATGAAAAGGAGAAAAGGACTTGTTAACCTATGTACCAAACACAGCCTAAGATTCCTTTGAGCAACTTCAGACTTTAGTTTGACAGAAGCTCAAGGGAGAATCCAGGTATAGCAGGTATTTTTTACTGAGCAGATGGTTGTATCTGTTGGGATTTTTGTGGGTCCATTGGGATTAAAGCAGAAGTTTCATCTCTCTTGACTGGCTTATGATTGCAAAACAACAGGGTCTTACCTTTTCATCTATTGAAGGAGATCAGTAAACACCATTAGATGGAATAAAAGGACAGGACAAGGTCTGGTACATGTGTTGAATGGATTTCAAGAGGTATGAACTCAATTGATGGACTAGCTAAATCAGAGGCAGGGAGGGATTTTTTAAATTTGTATGTGAAAGATTCCTGTCAGAAACATCCTCTTCATGTCCACTTTTTGATTTTCAATACAATACTGTTACTATTTTCAGAAAGAAACAGCTTATGTATACAGGTTTATGAATAATTTAACATCGAGGAATACACCTACCATTCTTCTATAGTTTTTAGAGATATCTAGGGGATTATCAATCTGAGTTGCATAGTTTTTCTTTTTCTTTTTCAATCGTCATTGTCATCATTATCATTATTATTAATCTTTTTAAGGGTGTAGCTGCAGGGTTTTCTGATGGCATGGTGGGGGTTAAATGCTCACCATCTGGCTCGATACTCCAGGAAACTAACCCAGCACTGCCTTTGGTCACAGTTCCAGTTTTGGAGTCTAACAAAGAAAATGGTGTCATGTGGGCCTCTTCTCCCGATTGCCTTGAGCTGCCTCCAAAGCCATTCCATCACTCAAATAGTTCAGATTCTCCCTGTTTATCAGAATCTGGTTCTGACATCTTCACCAAGCAGGAAGTGATACGGAAGCTAAGGCAGCAGCTGAAGAGAAGGGATGAGATGATCCTTGAAATGCAAGATCAGATTACATCTTTGCAGAATTCACTCAGTGTCCAGCTGACTCGTTCTACCCATTTGCAATCACAGCTTGATTCTGCAAACAGAGACCTGTTTGAATCAGAGCAGGAGATCCAGCGGCTGAGGAAAGCCATAGCAGATCATTGTGTGGTAGACACTAGTCCCTGTGAGAAGCCCATGGCAGTCAATAACTGGGCAACACGACAGAACGGGCATATAAATGGGTTTATTGTCGGGGTGAGTGATGTGGAGGTGTTGGACAAAGGAAGTGGAGGAGATGGAGAGAGGATTGAGATGCTGAAGAAGGAAGTGGTAGAGTTAAAGGAAGTCATCGAAGGAAAGGAGTACTTGCTGCAGAGCTACAAGGAACAAAAGGCTGAACTCTACTCAACGGTCAAGGAACTGCAGCAGAGATTGGCTTCTCAGGTACCAAATATTTTGTAGATGATCAATTTTGTGTATCCTTGTTTGGTTTCTCTTGTGTTGTTGCATAGGGGGTGAAACCTCTTTTTTACCTTCCTTGGTTCATATGTTTTCGGCTGCATACATTGCACATATGCATATAAGAGAGAGAGAGAGTTCTGATTGGTGAACGATCAAATGGTGACTCGTTGGACTACATGGAGATGGAGCCACTGCTGTAATTGGCTGTACTGTAGTTCTCCATTAGTTTGCCCTTTGGCCATTAGCGTCATGACTCCAACGGCACTAACAGCTTGGATTTGGATTCCCAGGTAAATATCAAGGTCCGGGCTATTTTATGGTTTGTGCAAGTACATTTGAGTATGGACCATATGGTATGAAAGTGTATATATCTTCTTGCTCATTTCTAGCTGAACAGTTGACGTTACTTATTCCTTTGTTTATTCCTCTTATTTATTTACTCTTTTTTGTAAGAATTTACTTTATTTTTTAGTTGATCAGAATAGGAACTTGGGTTCATTCCCATCAACATCTCCAGACTGGAGAATGATAACCCATCTCCCACGTTTGAACTGGCTGCTCAAAGGTAGCATGACGCTATTTATCAAGTGTGGAAAACTTAAAAAAAAAAACAATTGGCTAACCCAACTGGTAATTCATATGGTGCAAAATTTTGGTGTCATGCCCAAGTGAAAATGGGTTTAAGTTGGGTTGATTTTAAAATAGCTTCAACTCTATTAATATGCTCTTATTTCTTAGACTTTGGATTGGATTATTGGAAGGATAAGGTTTACTGATTTTAGCTAGAGAGAGATTCATATGAAAACAGAAGAATAAGGTATACGCTAGAAATCTTTCTTGTATATGTGTTCATATGAAATCAGATTCAGGTATTCTCATCAAACTGTAAGCAGTCCGGGTAACACTTTTAGCAACTCTGAGAGGTGTTTCCTGGGCAGAATGCATGATCAGTAATAGTATTCTGTCTGTGAGAGGCACAGAATTACTTGAACCCATTCATGTATCAATGGCTTTTATACAGCAATCCAAGATCCACAGTAGTTTTAAAGAATGAGAAGTTTCTGCGAAACAAGAACCCAAGAAACAAAAGATTGGATTAGTAAAGGTTTTCTTTTCTCCGTCTGATCTGGGTACGTGATGAAATCGTGTCAGGTAAAAATTTGATTCTATGAGCAACTTAAGAAGGGAGTTTCTAGCTACTTGAAACTGCTGAAATATATCCTATGGAACCACAAGTATTATTTCGTTTGAATACTTGGTAATGTGTTGATCTTAATCTATTTTCAATTTCTTCATCAAACCCTGAACCACGATTATGTTGTATCGAACAAGTTGTAAACTTGTATATATATTGTTGGATCGGTCCCACGTCCCTATCCAAAATGAATATACCAGTATATTTGGATGGTGCAAGTCAATGACTTGGATTACGTGTGTTTCGTGGAATGAAAAAGGAGACAAACCGGAAGTGACTGTATCAAGGACAACCTCCTTCACTGTCCACCCGAGTAAGAATCAAGAATGAATAGTTATGGCACGATGATGTGTTAGCCACAACCTTGTTTTTTTTAATAAAATAAGACATTATGAAGAAAAGAACATTTTCACAAACTTAAGGTCAACTAAATTATATATAAAACCATCAAAAGTTTTAAAACTAGTCCTGTTCTTCATGATAGGCTTAAGGTCAATCAATTCTAAGATTAAAAGGTTATGCTTAAACAAAGAAAGAAATAAGGATGCACAATCACAATTACAATAATTGATTGATAATAGCGTTCTTGCTATTTCTTTTAAATTAATCAAGTCAAATGATGAAACTGCTTCAGTTCCAACAGAACCAAAACAGACAGCCAACCGGTTATGTGAACGGTGTAAGCATTAAAGCCGATCTCGTTCTTATTTCCAGTAAAAGACGTACTTGAACTTTTAAAAGAAAAAGGCAAATTGACTAACAAATTAGTGGGTCATGGCATTGACCTCCCACCCCACCGTCTTTCACCTATACCCATCCGAGAGGAATACCTGCAGTATGGCAGTAAACAACGATTTTAATCCACCCTTGGATTTGGATGGGGCTCATGATTCATGAAAAGGCTTGTCAAATACGTAGTTTGTGTTCTCATCTGTTGACTGTAGTTGCCAAGTTACACAGAGTTCCATAGACTCGTTTGCCTATCAAATCATTATAACAAACCAACATATGCAGTCTAAAACGGATGAATTTCTGAGGCGCCAGCCACCCCAGCTGGTCAAAATTATTCCTCATTGATAGATTAGTGCGTAAAATCGTTCTATCCATGGAGCCATCGCTTATTTAGTTTGTCTTGGTATTAGATTCCGTTGGTGTGAACGGAAATTAACATTTCTAATAATTTTCAGGATCACATGGACAAATTGAAGAAACAGATCCCTACACTAATATTGCTTGTATCAAAGGTTTCTAAGACATAAGAATGTCCTTATTACTTATTAGACCCGTACATCATGCATCATGTACTTTAATTGACCATAACAGATAACACAGTCTCCAACCCACAAATCTCCTCTTCTTTAATTTTTCTTTTCCTTTTTCGGAGATGGGGGTGGAGTGGAGACAGTTAATCTGAAGAAAAGATCACGCGATTCAATGGTTTTTATTGTAATACCTTAATCAATTCAATGGTGTAGTTTTTTGATTTAAAAAAACTATCTTTGTTATTTTTCAGAGGTGGCTTGCTGGATGGTCACGGGGGAGAGACAGGCTGCACGGATTCGGAATTTATACTTGAAAACTATATTGAGACAAGAAATAGGCTTCTTTGATAAGGAAATAAACACTGGAGAAATTGTAGAGAGGATGTCAGGTGACACTGTTCTCATTCAAGATGCCATAGGTGAGAAGGTATATATTGTTGAGACAACACTGAACCTGAACTATTCACCATTTTTTTAATCGTACTTATGCTTCCAATTTTCAATGAAGGATGGAAACCGAATTCTTTTTCCCTTCATGCAATTCTCTACAGGTTGGAAAGTTTATACAGTTAGTATCAACATTCTTTGGGTGCTATGTAGTAGCGTTCATCAAAGGATGGCTTCTCACCCTTGTCATGCTGTCCTCTATTCCTCCTCTTGTCATCTCTGGTGCAATCATGTCTATTGTTATATCAAAGATGGCATCCAGCAGACAAACTGCTTATTCACAAGCAGCAACAGTTGTTGAACAGACAATCGGCTCAATCAGGACGGTATGCTTTATTATCACAATGGCACACAGGGACGCCGTAGTTCCTCAGTGCAAAAAGTATCAAGTCTATGAATTTCTTCTATGAACAATATAATTTTCCATATATACAGGTTGCATCGTTTGCTGGGGAAAATGAAGCTATAAAGAAATATGAAAAGTCTCTAATGAAAGCTTACCAGTCTGGCGTTCATGAGGGATTGGTTTCTGGACTAGGTCAAGGTGCAGTTATGTTTATCATGTTCTGCAGTTATGCTTTGGGCTTATGGTATGGTTCCAAGATGATCATAGACAAAGGATACACAGGTGGTGATGTCGTGAATGTACTGGTTGCAGTTTGAATGTCTCCATGTAAGCAAAAGTTCCTTCTTTTTGGACTAAAAATTTCATTTTTTATTTTTCAGTACGGCTGTGTTTGGTTTGATAGAAAATAAGAGAGGAGCAGAAAATTGAGGGAAATTTCTTAAAGGCTCTGTTTATTTGCGGTGTAAGGGAAATTTCTTAAAGGCTCTGTTTATTTGCGGTGTAAATCTGAACCACATACAAATTTTGTACCCCGTCCAGTTATGCATCCATTTGTTTGTAACTATGATTTGCACTTTTACCTGATACAAAATTTGTACTTCTTGTCTCATTTGCAGTTACTAGTAGTGTGAATTTTGCATCCCAAAAACTGGTACAAATTTTTGCACCACTTTCCTCCTACCTCAATTCTCTATTAGGAATGGAAACGGGGCGGGGTGGGGACAGGGAGCCTCTCCCCATCCCCGTCCCCGCAAAAATCCCCATCCCCATCCCCACTAACGGGGACAAGGTTATCCCCGTCCCCGTCCCCACGGGGATCTCCATTCCCTGTGATTTTTTATAATGTTAACCATTTTGTTTTTGCTTTTTATTTTATTTAAAAGAATAAAAATAAAATAATTAAAATTTACAATCCTATTAGAAAAGATTCAAACATATTGCAACCATATTTTTAAAAATATTAATATATAGATGTATGTGTACATATATACATATATAACGTATGCATACATATATACATATATATATATATATTGGTGGGGATCCCACGGGGCAGGGAGTGCTCTCCCCATCCCTGCTAACGGGGATGAAAATTTCCGCATCCCCATCCCCGTGGGGGGAAAACCATCCCCATCCCCACCCCATTCGGGGTGGATCCCCACGGGGATCGGGTAAATGGGGAAAATTGCTATCCCTATTCTCTATCATGTGAATTGGTGAGTACATCATGTTGCTTCCTACAATACTCCCAAACAAATAACCCTCCTATCTCCATTCTCTTTCATATAAAGCAGGGGCCACTTAATCATTTTACTTCTCACAAACAAATAAGACAAGTCAAATCTAAAGCAAAAGCAAAACCAGAGTTTGCACTCAACCTATTTGTACTCCCATGCATTTACACCAATGCAAATGAAATTTGTACTGAAAAAAAAAACTAAACCTAAGGAATTTTGTGAAATTCCCCAGCAACTTGAAGAACAAGAAGAAAAGGAAGGGATTTCCCATGCTGTCAATCACTATTAGCTTGCCTTACAGTACTGCTGCCAGAGACAAGCTTGGACAGAAGGGATTTGTGTAGGTTGTCAGTCAGAGTAAAAAACTTTTGACCAAACCTATGTGAACATGAATATGAACACGCACACCCTTCATATATCTAGAATAATGCGGAAAAGATGTGCTTATTTACTTTTTTTTTTTTTTCTATGACATTTGATGATTCGGGTCTTTAGGGCAAGCATCTCCATGCCTGAATGCTTTTGCAGCTGGACAAGCTGCAGCTTTCAAGATGTTTGAGACAATCAAGAGGAAGCCAGAGATTGATACATATGACACAAAAGGGAAGATACTAGATGATATTTGTGGAGATATTGAATTAAGGGATGTTTACTTTAGTTATCCAGCTAGACCAATTGACCAGATATTCAGTGGTTTTTCACTTTTCATACATAGTGGTACAACTGCAGCTTTGGTTGGACATAGTGGAAGTGGAAAGTCAACAGTGATCAATCTGATAGAGAGATTTTATGACCCACAAGCAGGACAAGTTCTTATAGATGGCATAAATCTGAAGGAGTTTCAGCTTAGATGGATCAGAGACAAAATTGGACTTGTCAGCCAGGAACCTATGCTGTTTGCTTCTAGCATTAGAGATAACATTGCCTATGGGAAACATGATGCAACCCTTGAAGAAATCAGAGCTGCTGCTGAACT